TCTAATTATAAAGTTCGTAAATCCATGCTGTTATTAAAAAGCCAAAAGCAACTTACAGTCGTGGCAGTAGAGCAAAGTTGATTTGACATAGAACAATAAGTGGACAAATGTTTCTGTATGCTATTGAACAGTTGTTTGAAATTATTCAATTATCTATAATTAACTGTGATTAAATTTTATTAAAGCTCTGCCTTCCTCTGTCTTCTTTATCTTTTTGCCTCTGTCTCTCTCCCTTCCTCTTTCTCAAATTAAAAATTGAACTGACAAACAAAGATCTCTTTCAAATAGCTAATTCAGACAAAAGATTAAGACGGATTTAGGATTTATTTTGAATGTCCCAAGCCATACCAATCTATGAAACAGAATATGTGTGCTTACATGTGCAAGAAGAAGACAGTCATTACATATATGTAGGTCATTTGGTAGAGGATCATTCTCTTTTCTTTCCATTCTAGAGAACCTAGTTGTTGTGTTATTCTTGCCTTTGCCCCTCAACTCCCCAAACATGTGGCAGCTCTTGACATTATGCTTTAATTCAACTGAACTTTACCAAATGCTTACCATGTGCCAAGCAATGTGTTGAAGTTTGCAAAGATCTAGGTCTGGAGTTGGGAAGACCCGGTTCTAATCTATGGCATAATGGAGTCAGTGAATTTGAGTTGAAAACCTAATTTACTCTCTGTTTGACCTTTAGCAAGTCACTTAAAGTTTCTGGGCCTCAGTTTCCTGAAAAATGAAGACTCAGACTGGATAATCTATCTCTAGGGTCCTTTCTATCTCTATGACCTTCTAACCTCTGATACTTGTTAGCTATGTGAGCAAGCAAAAAAAGGAAGAATGGAAGGAAGAAAAGAAAGAAGGAAGGAAGGAAAGAAGGAAGGAAGGAAAGAAGGAAGGAAGGAAGGAAGGAAGGAAGGAAGGAAGGAAGGAAGGAAGGAAGGAAGGAAGGAAAGATGGACACAGGCATTTATTAAGTACCTACTATGTGCCAAGTACTATGCTAAGAACTTTGCAAATATTTCATCCTTACAACAATTCTATGAGGTAAGCGCTATTATTATCCTCATTTTAGAGTTGAGGAAACTGAGGCAGATGGAGGTTAAATGATCTGCACAGATTCTCACAGCTATTAAGTATCTGAGGTCAAATTTGAACTAAAATCTTCCTGACTCCATGCTCAGCATTCTTTCTACTCTACCATCTAGCTTACTCTGGACAAGTCACTTGACCTCTGTGTAACCTAGGCAACCCCTCACTACATCATAGACTTATGGTAATCTGCCTTTGTGGAAGAAATCTCCATAATGATGAAAGCACAAGTTCTTTGTGTATAGAGTAAGTATTATACAATGGATATACTGAAAAATAGCACAGCCTCTGCCTTCAAAAAATATATAATCTAATAAGAATACAACATATGTGTGTGTGTGTGTGTGTGTGTGTGTGTACTCTATGTTTACAATTACAATGAATGTTTGAATAATCATGCTTAAAAATCAAATTTGATAGAAGGTTGTGATATGGAAGGTACTAGGAGAAGCATGAGTTAAATCAACAAACTTTAATTAAGCACCTACTATGTGCCAGGCACTGTCCTTAGTGTTGGAGATGAAAGAAAGAAGAGATGAAAGAAAGAAAGAAAGAAAGAAAGAAAGAAAGAAAGAAGAAAGAAAGAAGAAAGAAAGAAAGAAAGAAAGAAAGAAAGAAAGAAAGAGAGAAAAAGAAAGAAAGAAGAGATGAAAGAAAGAAAGAAGAGATGAAAGAAAGAAAGAAAGAAAGAAAGAAAGAAAGAAAGAAAGAAAGAAAGAAGAAGAAGAAGGAAGGAAGAAGGAAGGAAGGAAGGAAGGAAGGAAGGAAGGAAGGAAGGAAGGAGAAGGAAGGAGAAGAAAAAGAAAGGAAGGAAGGAAGAAAAAGAGGGAAGGAAAGAAGCAAATAAACAGATGGGGGAAACAACGTGAAAACAACTATACACAAAATAGTTATATACAAGATAAATTAGAGATAATCAACAAAGGGAAGTCACTAGAGTTAAGGAGGACTAGGAAAGGCTTTGCCATAACAGCACAGGAAGAATTCCAGGAAAATCTGAGGAGGGAAAAATCACTTTCAGTCAGGAAGATCAGACAATAACTGAGAAGACAACAACTGAATTGGATGTAATTTTGCTTCCTAAATACAAATTCCTCTACTGTAGAGATTGACTATGTACTCAGTGGCATAGAGGTATCTGTAGATTTTTGTACTGTGTTTTCAATGTTACTTTGAAACATGTTAGGTTCCTTTGAAGACTTTAAGGGCTAAGGAATACATTGAACAAGATGATGTTCCAATTTTCACTTTAACCACCAGGTCTGATGCTCCACCTAGTAATGTAATAATGGATCTCAGGCAATTTATCTGGGTCAATAGTTTTTAATAAATAAATAACTTTGCCATTCCAGGGAATACAATCTAAGTGGATTACACTAGGCATAAATATTTTCATTCCCCTCCCATTTGCACCAGGGTGGTTAATGCCTTACCCAATTAAGCACCAAAACACAGTGCATAAATAATTCAAACAAAATAAATGAAGAAAATAAATAAATTATACATGTATATGGAAACATATTTTAAGGAAGAAAATGAAACAGGGGCTTTCAAAGGAAATGAAATCAGAGTGTTCCATAACAAAATGTCTGACTTGAAAAAAATAGATCCAGTAATATATATGTGTGTGTGTGTGTGTGTGTGTATAATAAGTATATAGATATACATATATGCACATACATACATACACACATACATATATGGCTGGGCCTACATGATGCACAAATAGGTCAATGTTGGGAAAATCTGAATGATCTATTGGTTCTGGAACCAGATGTTTCAACATTATTGTTGACATTCTCTATTGAATCCCTTAGATAACATGTTAGTTTTTGCTTGTTTTCAAAATCCAGAAAAGCGTATTTGCAAAGTGGGACAAATTCACATTTCATGCAGTTTACACATGAAATCCACAGTAGGTAGAGTGCTGGGCCCAGAGTCAAGAAGCCTGATTTCAAATCCAACCTCACATACTCACTAGCTATGTGCCCCTAAGCAAGTCATTTAACCTCTGCCTCAGTTTCCTTAACAGTAAAATAGGAATAATAATAGCATCTACCTCACAGGGTTTTGTGAGGATCAAATGAGATGTTTGTGAAGCACTTAGCAGAGTACCTCGCACATAGTGGATGCTCTCTATAAATACTTATTCCCGCCCCACCCCCAGCCTCTCCCTAATACCACATGCAGGTCTTGTGTCTTGCAGATCAGTAAACTGAGTACCAAAAAAAAAGGCTAAATTTCTTACTGGAAGCTGTAGAGCAGTTTCATCAGCTGAACAAGACTAGAAACCATGTCTCCTTCCAGTCTGTGTTCACTATGAGGACAAATGTTTGAATAATCATGCCTGACTATCAGACTCCTCAGAAAGCCCTGATTCAGAGGGCACTGAGAAGTAATGGAATAAACATTACTGTGATATCACATTTCAAGGGCTGAAACTCCACCACTGAACTCTGGTCTAAGAGGAAAATAGTTTTCAGTTTTGGGGGCAGCAAGCAGACTTGTATTGCTCACAGGAAACCATTTCAGCAAAGAAATTTTTAAATTTTATACCCTTCAATTTCTCAGTGTTTAAGAAGATTTTTTTTTCCAGGCTGCCTTGGTTATGTACAGTGAATCATGTGTCAGAAGGGGACAGGCCACATTAAATCACCCTCACTCACTGTGTTCTAAAACATTTGGGAATGTCAGAAAGCAATGCAGAGTGGATGGAGAGTGATAAACTGTATTTGCCAGCAGAGGAACAGAAAGACATTAAAGGACCCAATTCCAGGCTGAATGGCAAAGTGTGGCACCATGCCATTTTTAATGCCAGTCTGATAGGGTATAGGATACTGGCCTCATTGTCAAATTGAGCTGTTTGGATTTAGAGTTTGTAGATTAATGGAGCTGAGATGACAAAATTCGAAATAAAAGACATTTCCTTCCAATTGGTCTATAGATTATGTTGGGTTCTTCTCATACAGGGGCTGCCTAGTGGATAGAAAGCAACCGATGGGGATTTGTGAAACTTGGGCATTAGGCCAGGCTCTGACACTAACCATCTATATGACCTTGGACCACTCACTTAATCTTACTAGGTCTTGATCTACTTATATGTCAAATGGAAATAATAATATGTATCCCTCCCCGCTGTCTCAGCAGCAAAATCATAACTATAAATGGGTAATAGGCTCCTCTTTCTCTAAGTGAGGGAATTGCCTAGGGGCTAGAAATTTGCCCCAAGGCTAGAAAGTTAAAAGGCCCCAGACAAATGTTTGTATTCCTTTAAGGAAGATAGCTAAGGTAAGGAAGACTTGGCAGTAGGGTGGTGGAAAGAGGTGTAGAGGAGAAAGCTGGTATTGGGACTAAGTTGAAGCTATGGCCCTGATGTAACTGGTGACTAGATGGTGAGACAGGAAGTATGACTGGGTTCCAATTCAGTGAATAGATTCATTGTCTCACTAGATTTCCTTGGCAAAGTCAGGGGCTGGTGGGACCCAAGCTCCAGACCACTCTGTGGGGTAGGGACAACCAACCCTGGTCCAAACAGTTAATTCCATGGGTCTAAACAATGGGTAGTCCTTCAGGACCCCCCTCACAGTTGCTCTCATTGCCCTGGGAAAGAGAAAGGAAACCTGGGGACTGGAGAACTGGAAGGTACATGCGTCCTCACCCTACCAAATACGAGCCTTCAGATTGAGGGGAAGTATCACAGAGTAGAGGAAAAAAGTGTGTTAGATCTGAGTTCAGTGGAGCTCTGTTTGAATCTTGACTCTACCATATAATTTATTCTGTTTCTCCATTTTATAGATGAATGTCATCTTGCAAAGGGAGAGAGAAGGTTCTTCAGGAATCCTAAAAATGTTCTCTGAGGGGTAGGATGAAGGCTACCTTGTGAGGCCAAAGTAATATCATTTTAGAGATCCCAGGAATGCTTCCCCAGGCTGAGGGATTCTTCTCATGATTTGCCCTGGGGGAAGTGGAAGGTGAGTCATGGTAGGAGGAGTCATGGCTTTGGAGAAATGCTTCAGCCTCCCATATTTCTGGGGCAACTAGGTGGTATGGTGGAGAGAGTGCTGGGCTTGGAGTCAAGAAAGCTTGAGTTCATATCCAGCCTCAGATACTTACTAGCTGTGTGACCCTGTTTGCCTCAGTTTCCTCATCTATAAAATGTGCTAGAGAAAGAAATGGCAAACCACTCCAGTATCTCTGCCAAGAAAACCCTAAAAAGGGTTAAAAAGAATAGGACCTGACTGAAAATAACTAAACAACAACCATCCATATTTCTAGAACTTTTCTTTCTCTGAAGCTTCAGCCAATCAAACTGTTTAAATAGTGGGAGAGGTGAAAAGTTTGGGTTCAAAGGACCAAGAGTCTCCCTTCTTGCTTTGCTGCTTGCCCCAAGTCTTGAACGAATGAGTAATTTTTTTTTTTTTTACTTAGGGCATACTAGAGTGCAGAGCATTGGTGTAAGACTCCAGGATACAAACAGAACAGTATGACAGTCTCTCCTCTCAAGGGGCTCACATTCTAATGGGGGGAGACAATACATATACACAGGAGGTTTCAGTTGCAAGTCAGAGGCTAGGGACCTCTGGAAGGACCAGTGCTCACTTGTACCTGAAGGAAGCCAAATTTCAACAACGTAGTGGGAAAAGTGCTGGCCTGGGAATCAAGAAAGATAGTTTCTAGCCCCTGCTCTGACATTAATTCTAGGCCTCTGTTTCCTCCTCTGTAAAATGGGGGGCTAAGATAAGATAGTCTATAAGGTCCTTTCAATCTCTGAGCACCTGAGAGTTAAAGCAATGGTGTTCCAAGTGTGTTCATTTCAGCTTAGACTCCTTTTAAATAGCAGTCTGTAACCTGGGGGCAGGTCAGATCTCCTCAGTCATCTTGCTAAACTAAGGCCTGACTTATAAGCCAAAAATTCCTTTTCCCACCTGTGTGGAGTTTGAATATCATCTAGCCTCCAATTCCTGAGGCTTGAGTCAGCACTGGTCCTAGAACCTTGACCCACATACCTGTCTAGGTTCTCTGCTCCTTGTACCCAATAAAAGACCACTGGAGGGGGGCAGAGCCAAGATGGTGGAGTAAAAGCAATGGCTTGCTTGAGCTCTTCCCCAAACCCCTCCAAATACCTGTAAAAAAATGGTTCTAAACAATTTCTAGAGCAGCAGAATCCACAAAAAAAAAAAAACAGAGTGAAACAAATTTCCAACCCAAGACAACCTGGATGGTTGATTAGAAAGGTCTATTGTTCCAGACTGGAAGAGGAGTGCAACAATTCAACAAGGGCACATAGGCAAAGACCAGGCCTCAGCAAAGCGAGAGCAGGGCAGCTATGCTGGTTTCCAGACTTCTCAACCCACAAATGCCAAAGACAACTTGAAAGGTCAGTAGGAAAGGTCTGTTAGATCTGGGTGAGAGAGAAACTTGGTTCCAACCCCAGTCCCTGTGCAGCCCCAGGACAGCTGCTTCAGGAGCTCTCAGCACACACACACAGAGGGTAATTGAGTAGCTGATTAGTGGGGATTTCAGGGATCCCTTTGCTGGTGCAGGATTCTCTTGCTTTGCCCATGCTTGTATCTGGGTCACAATTCTGGATGGTGGTCTTGGAGCAAGAAGGAGTACAGGAGTGGTAGAGTTTGTGGTGGCAGTACAGAGAGAATCCTCCTCACAGTTCCAAGGAAGAAAAGAGAGCTTTTGGTCACTCATAGATCAGAACCCAGGTCAGGAAAGTAGTAAACACCTCACACTTGATCATACCACCTTGGAAGAACTGAAAATTTACAGTACCCTAAAAGTATCTCTGAAAACAGCTACACAAAATGCCTGAAGCTTGGGACAGTACATTCTCCACACTGCAAGCAGACTCCTACTTTAAAAAAGAGTTTAAAACTCAAGCAATTGACTGGGAACATGAGCAAACTGTGCAAAAAAAAGTCAGACCATAGGATCTTTCTTTGGTGACAAAGAAGATCAAAACATACAATCAGAAGAAGACAATAAAGTCAAAGCTCCTACATCCAAATCCTCCAAGAAAAATAAGAATCACTCCCAGGCTATGGAAGAGCTCAAAAAGAATTTTGAGAAGCAAGTAAGAGAAGTAGAGGAAAAACTGGGAAGAGAAATGAGAGTGATGCAAGAAAATCATGAAAAACAAGTCAACAGCTTGCTAAAGGAGACCCAAAAAAATACTGAAGAAAATAACCTGTTAAAAAATAGACTAACCCAGGACTTCTGCTTCTGGAAGCCCAGATGGAAGAGTGAAAGGTAGTTGCTCTCACCCTCCCCTATCAACATCTGAAAACCCAGAAAATATCACCCCAGAAAAAAAAAAACAATCCTTTGAACAGCTGAACTAGAAGGAAGACGGGGAACAGCAGTGCAGCAGCCCAGCAAATGGATATCCCAGTGCCTCAGCAAAAATAAGGGAAACAGCACTACAAAGGGCCCCAGGCAGATAAGCACCCTACAGCATTCATCTGAAAGGAGCTGAAGAAAACAACCTAGAGTCTTCCTAAAGTCCTAGCTTTGCTGATTCCAATCCAACATCTCCCACTGTCAACCAGGAGGAGATCCTGAAGCCCAGGTGGTAAAACAGGCAAACACCAACACCTGGACCTCTGAGTGCCTCAGTGAGGGCAGGGGGAACCAGTGGAAACCAGCTCAAAAAACACCAGGTGCCTTGGCACCCTACCACAAAGGAATCTCCCAGTGCATTAGCAGAAACTAGGGAGGCAGCATTGCAAGGGGCCCCAGGCAGATAAACACCCTGCAGCACCCATCTAAAAGGAGCTGAAGAAAGCTAAAGGAAAGGAAAAGCAGGCAACCTAGAATTGCCTGAAAGTTCCAGCCTTGCTAATTCCAGCCCAACATGAGGTAAGCTGCCAAAACCCTACAGCCTCCAATTGCCAACATAAGAGGCCTCAGCACACAAAGCCAGTGACCAAGACCTTGGGTCAGTGCCCTCTGTTCCCCAGCAGGAGAGCTCAATCTCTTTAAAGGCCAGGGAATAAAGAAACCATGAGTAAAAAATCGTACCATAGATTCATATTATGAGAAGAGTGGGGATCAAGATAGAAATTCTGAAGAGGACAACATTGTCAACAAAATCACATTTGCAACATCAAAAGGGAATATGAACTGGTCTGAAGCCCAAAAAGCCTTCTTAGAAGAGCTCAATGAGGATTTTAAAAGTCTAATGAGAGAGGTAGAAGAGTCCTTAAAAAATACAATTGGCCTATTGGGAAAAAAGTACACTGAAGAAAACAAGTTCCTAAAAAACACAACTGGCAAACTGGAAAAAAAGTACACTGAAGAAAACAAATCCCTTAAAATACAATTGGCCAATTGAAGAAGAAGTACAAAACTAACAGAAGAAAACAATCTGTTAAAAACTAGAATTGGACAAATGGAAACTAATGATTCTATGAGAGAGCAAGAATCAGTCAAACAGAAACAAAAAAATGAAAAAATGGATGAAAACTTAAAATACCTCATCAGTAAAACAACTGACCTGGAAAATCAATCCAGGAGAGACAATTTAAAAATCATTGGGCTACCTGAAAATCATGATAAAAAAAAAAGCCTGGACAGTATCTTTCAGGAAATCATAAAGGAAAACTGCCCTGAAATCCTAGAACCAGAAGGTAAAATAACCATAGAAAGAATACACCTCTCACTACCGAAAAGAGATCCCAAATTGACAAAGCCAGGAATATAATAGCAAAATTCCAAAATTGCCAGATGAAAGAGAAGGTGCTGCAAGCAGCCAGAAAGAAACAATTTAAATATCATGTGGAACCACAGTCAGGATTACCCAGGACCTTGCAGCTTCTACATTAAAAGTCCGCAGGGCATGGAACATGATATTCCATGAGGCAAAGGGGCTTGGATTGCAGCCAAGGATCAAGTACCCTGCAAAAATGAGCATGATTTTTCAAGGGAGAAGATGGATATTCAATGAAATAAGGGGCTTCCAAACCTTCTTCAAAAAAACCAGAGCTGAACAAAAAATCTTGATCTTCAAGTCCAGGATTCAAGAAAGACATAAAAAGGTAAATGGGACAGAAAGATACAAAATGTTGTTAATAAGGCGAACTGTTTACATCCCTACAAGGGAAGATGACACTTGCAACTCTTGAGAACTGTATTGTTATTACACCATGTTGAAGGAGTATACATACAGGGGGTGGATATTAGTTGATTTTGATGTAATGATAAAAAAAATCTAATCAATTGCGTTAAATGGATCCAAGTAAGTGGATTAGTCTAATCTTAGAAAATGTACTGAGAAAGGAGGAGGCAGACAAGGGTAAATTGCATTACAGGAAAAGACAGAAAATCCTATTACAGCAGAGGGAAAGAAGAGAGGGGGTGAGCATTGTTTGAACCTTGCTGTCATCAGATTTGGCTCAAGAAGGGAATAACATAATCAGGTATGGAAATCTAACTTGCCCTATGGGCAGTAGAAGAGAAAAGGGGAAAGAAAAGGGAAGGTAGATAGAAGGGAGGGAAGAAGCAGTGGGGGCTAAGGGGAAGAGGGGGGAGAGGGAAAATAGAAGGGAAGAAAGCCTAAAGGAGGCTGTGGTCAAAAGCAGAGTACTGGTGAGGGGGGAAGGGAGAGAGGAGAAAGAAAAGCAGAAACGGGGAAAAAAAGGATGGAGAAAAAGACACAGATAATAATCATACCTGTGAAAATTGAATCACTATCTTTTTTTTTCTCTTTTGTTGAGTTTCGTTTCCTCTTTCTGATGCTTACTCCTATTGGTTTAATTTTTACTTACAACTTCACTAATGTGAAAATATGTTTAATAGGAATGTAAATGTATAGCCTATATAAGATTGTGCACTGTTTTGGGGAGGGAGGTGGGGAGGAAGGGGGAGAAAAATTTTAAACTCAAAAGCATATGGCAGTGATTGTTGATAAATCAAAATAAATTAATAAAATATGCAACATAAAAAAAAATAGACTAACCCAAATGGCAAAAAAGGTCCAAAAAGGCAATGAGGAGAAGAATGCCTTAAAAAGCGGAATTGGTCAAATCGAAAAGGAAGTCCAAAAGCACACTAAAGAAAATACTTTCTTAAAAATTAGAATGGAGCAAATGGAAGCAAATGGCTTTATGAGAAATCAAGAAATTGTAAAATAAAACCAAAAGAATGAAAAAATAGAAGACAACGTGAAATATCTCACTGGAAAACAACTGACCTGGAAAATAGATTCAGGAGAGATAATTTAAAAATTATGGGACTACCTGAAAGACATGATCAAAAAAAAAAGCCTAGACATTATCTTTCAAGAAATTATCAAGGAAAACTGCTCCGATATTCTAGAACCAGAGGGCAAAATAGAAAGTGAAAGAAAGAATCCACTGATCTCCTCCTGAAAGAGATCCCCAAAGGAAAACTCCTAGGAATATTGTAGCCAAATTCCAGAGTGCTCAGGGTCAAGGAGAAAATAGTACAAGCAGCCAGAAAGAAACAATTCAAGTATTGTGGAAACACAATTGGGATAACACAGAATTTAGCAGCTTCTACATTAAAGGGACCACAAGGCATGATATATAATATTCCAGATGTCAAAGGAGATGGGATCACAGCCAAGAATCCCCTACCCAGCAAAACTGAGTATAATCCTTCAGGGTAAAAAATGGATATTCAGTGAGATAGAGGATTTTCAAGCATTCTTGATGAAAAGATTAGAGCTGAATAGAAAATTTGACTTTCAAATACAAGACTCAAGAGAAGCCTGAAGAGCTAAACAAGAAAGAAAAATCATAAGAGACTTATTAAGGTTGAACTATTTACTTTCCTATATGAAAAGATGATATTTGTAACTCATGAGACCTTTGTCAGTATTAGGGTAGTTGGAGGGAAAAAATTTTATGTATAGATAGATAGAGGGCACAAGGTGAGTTGAAGATAAAGGAGTATCTGGAGAATAAAATTAATTGGTGAGAGAGGATTATACTGGGAGAAGGAGAAAGGGAGAGATAGAATGGGGTAAATTATCTCACATAAAACAGATAAGAAAAGGCTTTTACAATGAAGGGGAAGTGGGGGAAGATGAGAGGGAATGAGTGGATCTTATTCTCATCAGGTTTAGCTTAGGGAGAGAATAACATACACACTCAATTGAGAATGGAAATCTATATTACATTACAGGAAATTAGAGGGGAAGGGGATAAAAGAGGGATGATAGAGGGGAGGACAGATTGGGAGAGGGGGTAATCAGAGGCAAACACTTATGAGGAGGGACAAGGTCAAAAGAAAGAATGGAATAAATGGGGGGTGGGATAGTATGAAGGGAAATATTTAGTTTTCCACAACATGACTACCTACGGAAGCATTGTG